CCCATTCACTGCTTCTCTTTCCCATCACACAAAACACATTTACTCCCCTGACCTTGTCACAGACTATGCCATAGACTTTATCTCTTACCTTCAGTAACTTCTAGCTTCTTCTCTGATTATGAAAAAAATTTACCCTTTGTATATTTCCCTCCTCAGTAAAGCTTTCCTTGATAATTCCACTTCATGCCAGGTTGTCTACTTTTTGTGTCTTCCCTTGGCTTTCAGCATCTTGGACGTGGTCATTGATCATTAACAAATATTTACTTATTATCAAACACAATGGCAGGTGCTAGGAATTCAAAGACAAATTAAACATAATCCTTGTCCTCAGAGACTTACAGTTCAATGTGCTAATATCATCATTAGCATCATCAACATTCACTACCAGACTTACTTCCTTAAGCATTATTTGTTGCATACTTACTGTGGGTTTTACCTTCACATTATCTATGAAATAGTATGAAGTAAGCATTATCTTCATTTGGTAGTGGTTGGAACCAAGGCTAAGAGTTTATACAACTTGCATAGTCTTGCACAGCTGGTATGCAGAATATTTAAAATTGGTACCCAGATACATATAAGTTCAAAGTTTAGGCTCTGAGGACTATATGAATTTGCTGCCTTTGTGGTCAGTTACAGTACCATCTGAGGGCAAGCAAACAATTACAGTAGCATCGAGTGAGTCTTAAGCTGGAGTACGCATGTCTAAGTCTTTGCCACCACAAGACTGTAAACTTTTAGAAGGAGGGAGCTGTGACATAAGCTTTTATGAACCATCCACGGTCCCTAAAACAGAGCCAGGTTTCCACTGATTATTCATTAAATCCATGTTGAATTATCCATTGTTGGACCCCAGAAAGGTAACATTTAGATACATCTATAAATAAAAAAGGCACTGAACAGGCGCCTCTATTATTCTGTAATAGAATTGCTCAGTTTGCTTTCTTATTTTTCAAATAGTTACTGAATAACTATTAGATCCTGGAGGAGAATGGCTTCTCTAACTGTTAGTTAAAACTGAGTGAGAATAGTGAGAGGGGTGGATACTCACCATTATTTCAGGGTTCCATGTGATTGGGACTTGGAATTTGGTGAGCATACGATAGATTTGCAATCAAATAATCAAAGTAATTTGATAAGTGTTCTAAGGATACTCCAAGCAAAGCTCTATGAAAGCACTTCATGTTGCTTAGATAGATCAGGGGAGGTGTCATTGAGAAAGTAACACTGGAGCTACAGTTTGGAAATGGATAAGATCTCACTATAAGGTGATGTTGTTAGGATGTGGGGCCTTTGGGAAGTCATCGGGTTACGGCAGCGGGGCTTCCATGAATAGGATTAGCGCCCTTTTAAGAGAGGCCCCAGCTAGCTTGTCACTCCCACCACATGAGGACGCAGTGAGTCTCTGGCGTCTGCAACGTGGAGGAGGGCATTCACCAGAACACGACCACGCTGGCACCCTGATCTTGGACTTACAGGCTCCAGAAATGTGAGAAATAAATTCTTGTAGTTTACGAGCCATGCAGGCTGTGATATTTGTTACAGCAGTCAGAACGGACTAAGCCATGCTGTTCAGGACAGCTCTGTCCTTCCTGACCCACTTCCTCCCTCTGCCTCCAACAACCCTGTACTCTACTGCGTTCACCTCTGGGCACTACCGTTCTTGTTGTAGGTTTGATCGATAATGCCAGAGAAGGAGAAAACGCCAAAATTTTACCAAGGACCCTTTTACCTTAAAGGATCCACAATTTACAATTCTAATTTCTTCACATCCTTACACATTGGAATAAATATGCCATTTTCTATTTTACTTTTTTCATTTATTACATAATTTTCCTTATTGCTATCTGGTCTATATAGCATTTTCAGGTTATATATTATTCTACAAATGTTCTCCAAATGTTGGGTCGTTTCTAGGTAGCAATTATTCTAAATCCATCTTGGTACAAACTGGATTTCTTTTCCTTTTTAATTATTTCCTTAAGATATAGTTTTAATAATACAAAGTGAGATGACCAAACCATAAGGTAGATAAATTTTTGATTACTAAGAATGCCAGATTATACTCAGTGAAAAATGCTATTAGGAATAAATGAATGCTTTTGATCCCCTGCAGTAGCTCAGAGAGTCTTTTTTAATATAATTATTGGAAAAATGGGCTAAAATCAGGAGAATGTCTTAAGATGTTGAGAAATTCAAACCTCATGGCCTAAGATGCCTAAGAGGGGCCTGACAACTATTTTCAAATATCTGAAATATTTCTAGACAGTGACTCAAGGGACCAGAGTTCATGGCCATGAATCTGCAAGTTAATAGCTTTGTGATCTTGGGCAGGTCAACTAACGTTAGGTTTTCTCAACTATAAAATGAAGGCAAAAGACCACATCATCTCTATGTTTTAGGATTTTATGATTTTAAGTTGATTATAGGCATTTAAGAGTTTTCAAGCAATAGGAACAATATTCTTACACAGAAACAAGGTGCTTTGAAAACAGGATCCCCTCACTGGCAATTTGAGCGTCTCTGCCAAACATCTACTGAGCCTCCACTGTGTGTGACATAGTGGTGGGGACACAAATGTGTAAACTTTCAGGAAATAAGATATAAGCGTAGAGAGAACCTAGTACCAATCACACATGCAAACAAGAGCTGAAGGCAGAAAGTTCAAGTGACAGCTCCATGAGAGTATTTCACGGCAAGGTTAATTGCCAGACGAGCAGAACAGGAGATGCCACTCCGTGACTTAACAAAAGGAAGCCTGGGCTCTGGAGTCATACAACCTTGGATGTGAATCTCAGCTCCTCTACTTAAACGACCTGAATGACCAGGAGCAAGGTTTTTGATCAATCCGTGACTCAGTTTCCCCATCTTTAAAATAAGATAGATCATAATATCTATGGTAAAGGCTTGTGGTGGACATCACATGGGGTAACGTTTGTGAAATCCTTAACACTTTATGTACTCGGAAAACATCTTACTGTTGCTGTCATTTTGTCACAAGGAGCTTTTGAAGGTTGTTGAATTGGAGTCGGTTCTTTGAATCTGAGTATTTAGGTAGAAAATGAAGACAGATGCTAGCACAAATAGTGCTCTTCACTGAACACGGAGATAGACTAGAGTTTTCAGGTTCCTTCCATCCCTAAAATTCCCTTATCCTAAGAAAAATGAATTCTATCACACGTTTAATTTTTTGTGTATGACATGGGTGGCTACCGTATCATTCAAGTTACCTGATATAATGGTTGGATTAATAGGAGATGAAAGTTGGTTGAATGCATCTTTGTCACTTGATTCATTTGAACGTGACTTCCTGAAATAATCAGGCATTGTGCTAGGTGCTGAGGGAGTCACAGAAATGTATGAGATGGGCCCCTCCCTTCTTGGAACGTAACAGTAGGGGAGGGAGGGTATAAAATTAGATACAAATGAAAGATAAAGAACTACATGGAACTAGATAGTAGTTTAATATTATAATTTTTATATTACTGTTAATGATTGTTTTTAAACAATTCAAGGTAGAAATAGTATTTATTATGTCTATCCTATAATAAAATAAA